CATATCTGAATAACAATGTCAGCATCTCAAATTCTATTGCATATATTCATTCTATTTGCATATATATGAGGCTAATAGAAATGAAAAGGCTACTTACATGATCAAGGATATTTATCTGAGACTCTGAGAGATGTATAAACTTTAGTGGCATAAATGCTTACTTTTGTAAAAGTTTACCTCATTTATAAATTTAAAAGAAAGTTCTCAGGCTCCCAAATCTCATCCTCAGGCCAAGTTCTCAGAGAAAATACCTCCAAAGCCAGAGGGTAGAAGACATGGTATCTTTGTTCATTTTGTGTTGCTATAACAAAATCTCTGAGGCTTAATATGTTACAAAGAAAAGAAGTTTACTTAAACTGGAGTTCTGGAGGTGAAAGACCACCATCAAATGGCCTCATTGGTTTGGCCTCTGATGGGAGCTTTCTGTTTATGTCCCAACAGAGAAAATGGTATTCATGACCAATGCATGTGAGAAAGAAGTCATGTAGTGAGGCAGGAAGTAGGAGAGACTCCCGGCTTGTACATTTATGAGAACCCACTTTTGCAGGAACTAGTCTAATCATTTGAGATTCAACCACTCCATGAGATCAGCGTTGATCCCTTCCTAGGGCAGCGCCTGCCTGATCTTCTTCCACTGTGATTTGCATCTTAAAGATCCACCACCTTTCAATCCTTTTACATGGGGGTGGGGTGGGAACCAAGCATCCAGCACATGAGCCTTTCAGGGACAAATGTGCTACTACATGGCTACTACTCTGATCATAAATGAGGCAGATGCCATGGCCTGTGCTTAGGTCTATGACGGGTACATTTGCAACTGCTTCAAGCTAGGTTGCACAAAAACCTGCATGAGAGATTGAGTGGGAAAAGGAGTACTTAAAACATAAGGTCATTGATTTTTTTGCTTTCAATCATTTGTTTAGCAGAGCTAAGACTACAAAGCTGAATGTGTGAAAAGAAAGATTGCAAAGAGCTCTTAGAATGAGTGCCCCTAATGAAGTCACAAAATCAAACATCAATCCCAGAGCTTAAATCCCTCCCTCCCCCAAAATAATAGAGTAGAAGCACCCATTTGTATCATTTATGAAAGAACTCAGTTAAAATGGTCTGGAGCTGATACGTTTCTAATTTGCCTATCAAGTTCCAGTCTTCCTTTAACTTCCCCCTCTCCCCCAAGGTTCAGTAGGAAGAGTACTGGGTTGGAAATCAGATGGCATCATTCCAAGTCTCCCTCTAATTAGCTGGGGACATCCTGGACAAGGTACTTAATCTGATTCTCAGCTTCTGTATCTTCAAAAGAGGAATACCAACACTTTTCAAACTAACCTAAATTATATTATAAAAGAGTGTGCTACAACATAGTCATTCCATCTAGAATTAAATAACTAGACTTCTAAGCCACAATCAAAATCTAATGAGGAGAATATTTCAGAGAAAAGCAAGAGGGAGTCGCTGATGCCTCTCTCCTTTCCCAGGCTTTGTGAAGCTCCATGATAGCATTTGGTTATTTGTAATGAATATACTCTATCTCCAAGTTTGATTTCCAAGTCTTCAGTAAGTACAGGTGCAGGGGCATATTTTGGGCAATGCAAAAGCAGACACCTGGAATTAAAGCGTTCATCCTCACCTACTAGAAAAGGCCATGGAGGCATTTTATCTCCAGTCTCAAAATGAATGAGAACTTCTTTGAAGATCACCTATCCTCACCATCTCCTTATTGTAAAAATGCATCTGCCTTCCAGGGAAGTCTCTTTGTCCCCAGCATAGGACAGAGTCATTCTTCACAACTTAGGTTTAATTTAGTGTAAGACCATCTCCCTTGAGTTTCTTTTCCTCTCAATCAGTGCCTTTATCATTTCTTTCTACTCTTTCTCTGTAAGTGCTAGAAGTTACTTCGTATCAGTTGCCCTTTTCCCTCTCACAAATGGACCAGGTGAGGAAGCTCAGGGATGAAATTAATATTCTCATCAGACTAATGAAACACTATAGTCATTTAGAAGGGCAGATTCTTTGTGAATAATAAAAATACCTTTGAAGGTTGATGGAAGAACCTAAACTTTATTCAAACTTAGCATCAACTTTCTAATCTATCTTAGACAGGTGATTTAACAACTCCATGTCTTATTTTGACAGATTTGGTGGTGAGAACAAGATGTTTGCTGAGCCTCCTTCTATGTTGTGTATTCTGAATAAAGGGTAAATTTTGTGTCTATATAAGACAAAGTTACGTGCATATGGAGAATATTTTGAGCCATGGCCAAGAAAATTGATCCTGTGTTGTTACCAAAAACAGATATGCATAAGCTTGAAATAAGTCAATGTGAGGAAAGAGTTAGTGATTTTTTATTCTCTAGAGCTATGAATTCTATGATTGGTGGACGTGAATAGGTCTTCCCAGAGACTTCGTAAGAAAGTTCTAGAGAAATGGACCAACTGGAGTTTATGAAAGGAAAACATCTGCTAGTCATGTGTCTCACTGGTTATTAAAACTATCATCATGGGCTGTATCCTACTGATGTTGCATTAGCATTCCATACAATGGCCACTAACGTCATTTTCCCATGGCAGTTAAAACAGTAAGGAAGAAGAATCTAGTAAGTAGAGATTTGTTTCACTTGACACTGTAAGTTCAGAAATCACTCATCCTTACAATGACATGAAACACTGAGGGGAGATATATTTATCCAAAAGGAGTCCATACACAGACACCCCATCTCTTGTCTGGAAACATATAAACATAAGATACAGTAAAAAATGAAGAGCACGCACACTGGGAGAGATGCAGGTCACTCAGAGAAGGCACATATTTTAAGTGAGAGCACAAAACAGGAATTTTATGGAGCAAGAATCATATGAGATGGGTTTGGAAGGCTGAGCTAGGTTTTCCCTATGGAAGTGACAAAATGCGGCAAAAGCAAAGAAAATGAGAACAAAATTAACACTAGCATCTAACATTTACCAACCGCTTACCCTGTATTAAGATCTCTAGATACATGGTCTTAGTGAGTTCACATAACTCTAAGGGGTTGGTTCTTTGGTGTCCATTTTCTGATGGAGAAATTCAAGTTTAGAAAGGAAGACTGCTTTGCCTGAGCTCTACCACTGGGGGAAAAAAAAGAGCAGCTTTCTCAGGATTGGTGAAACATGTTGCAAGAAAGAAGGAAAAAATGTCTGAAAAACTTCATTTTGGTTTGACAGTGAGTGTGCTGGAATACTAGATTCTCTCAGTAAATCGCAGTAAAGAGGAACTCAAATGAGATACATAAGAAGTAAAATATTTAAAATAGAACAAAATGGGACAAAACTATGCTTTATATGGTATGGAAGATAGTCCCAAATCAGCGTCCCTCAAACACCCTGATCAGCAACAAAACATCAAATGTCAGTCACATCAGGAAGGGATGTAAATACCCTCCCTAATACAACTCTGCTTACGGAGGTGGAAACTGGGGCTGAAAGAAAAGTAACCCTGTTGAAATATTTCTTCCAATCTAAGTTTTAAATGAAGAATAAGTATTATATGTACTTGTGGCTGTGTCATTCTTGCCAAATTCCACAGACTGTTGGGAACTGACAACTGAACATGATAGTAAAAGCATAAATCCCCTGGCACTCAAACAGTTTATAGATGGCTCAGAAAACAATTAAGTTGTGTTCTCGTCTGTGCTTTAATCATAGTAATGTGCTTCTATTACTCCACTGAGTTGGTCGGTAACCAGATGTGCATTAGGCATTTAGCATAAGCAAATCCTTTAAGTGGTCGTGCATTAATTCCCCACTACAGGTTTTGTAAATAAAAGAGGCACCCTCACCTCAGAGAATTCTGCTCTTACAGAAATTATCAATGTAGTTTAGATTTTTATTCTTGTTTGAACAGCTGTTTAAGAATTAATACCCTCAAAGCCCATTCATATTTAAAGTAAACATTAATAAACAACTATTTTTTGAAAAAAAAAGAATTCCTTTTTATTATTATTTCTTCCATTAGTAACTTCATGATTATGTTTGGTTTATTATTCCAGCAACAGCTATGCAGAAATATAGTTGGTAGCTAAAATGTTTCCCAAAGGACATCTATTTCAGATCTCCATGAGTTAAATTAGTAATGTTTCTGTCACTGGTTTGAGTGATACCATTTAGTATGTTGATATAATACTAGTATCCTATAATACCAGTATGTTGTATAATACTAATACAGCTATAATATATTATTTTCATTTTTATTTTTGCATTTATACCTGACTCCCATTTTAGTCGGAGGAGGACTGGAGATACCTGCTTTAGTTATTCTGTGGTAATTACTTGAGTTACAATGCATTTAACACAACATATGATTCAGTGAGGCAGTCCAACATACATGTTTCTCCCAACCTCTGATACTTCCACAATGGAATCTTATAATAAAGGTGAAATTTCTCTCTGAGAAAAAAATTTTTGAAGCTTACTTTTAAAACAAATGTAGTCATTTTGCCTTTTTGAGTTACAGAGAGAATTCTCAAATGAGATGCAAACCAATGACATTCCTACAGATAAATTTTCACAAACTAGAAACAAATTTTAAAGGCTAAAATATTTATTTTAGCAATTTAAGCCAGCTTTGTTCCCGAACTTCTAAATGATTTAACCTTCCATTATTAGTATGTTCTATTTTATTTACCAGCCTAGGACATTTCAGTGAGCCTACCTATAATTATTAATCCTCATTTTGATAATCCAACATGTAATTTTATATGTATTAATGAGCTTATTTGATGTTTATGGAAGCCCCTTCCAATAATTACCACTGATTTGAAGTTTGAATTATTTGAAAGGATTTCAATAGGAAATGACCCAAATTATAAGTTGTACCATTCAAAACATAACATTTATTGCCACAGGGAATTTTAAATAGATGTTTGTGAGAATGAAAGTGTGTATTGCAAATGTGTTTGTTGATGCCACAATTCAAATTCATCACTCATTATTGAAAAGAAGTGTTTACTCAATAAGCCACGACATTCTTGTTTTCCATAATTCACCATAATTTTATTTGATATTTACAGTCATCGATTTCTACTGCAAGGGTCTTGCTGAGGATGTGGGGGATTTGGAAAGGGAAAGGGGATTTGGGGGAAAGGATTCAGAGGTCTGAAAGAGAAGACAATCAAGCTAGCAGGATGTGAACGTCTTCCAGAAGAAATTCTTGCAGCCGGCTTTGCGCTCTCGAGGCGCCATGGCCGGGTTGGAGTTCGCGGATCTCTGCAGCTCCAACCTCATCTCGTCCTGCTCAGCAGCCTGCGACAAATCCTCGGGTTCCAGGGCGTCATTCTCTGTCTGGTTGGGTTCAGACAGCAGCTCTGCCAAGAAGTACTTGGCCAGTTCCTGTGTGGGGCGAAAGGGAGGGAGAAAGAGAGGAGGAAGAGAAAGATGAAACGCAGGAATAGAAAACCCTCCTTTGCAGAACACACTCGATCACATCCCAAACCCGGGTCTTACAGCTATGCACTTTGTTCACTTAAAATCAATTGCAGTAGAACAGAATGATAAAGGTGGCTGCTTTACTCCGAAAGCTCAAATGTGTCGGCAAGGGTTCTGACTCCGTAAGCTTTAAACGCACAAAGAAATAGACGATAAAAGCAGTTCTGTGAAGACGAAAAGCGTGCCAATAATTTAACCTAATTTCCAAATCATGAGCTACCCAGTGGGGTTGGTCTTACGGTTTTTGCAAAGTAAACGGCAGAGGAACGATGCCTCTCACAATCGCAAACACTCTAGTCCTCCTCGGCGAGCCCTGGCCCCTGTACCGTGGCGTCTGAACTTCAGCACCAGGGCCAGTGACTCCCGCGGGCAGCCGGGCGGATAGGTGCGGTCATCCTTTTGCACTCAGCTGCCCCGGTTGCCTAATTTTCTTGGGAGGAACTCACCTGAATGGTGACCGGCTGCGCTCATCAGGCGTTAGAGGTAAAGGGATTCTAGACTTGGAAAGTTTTCCTGAGAGCTTTGGGAGCTGAGGGACTCTGAAAACCACTGGAACTCTTTACGCGCACCAAACACCTGTTAAGGCCAGGCTAAGGGCAGAGAAGGGAGTTTCCTTACCTGCTTTCCTGCGGCAGCAGCCAGGGACTTCTGCAGAAACTGACGGAGTCGGGGGTCCGAGGGCGCGCCGGTGACGCCGCCCAGGGCCAGGACGAGGGAGAGCGCGGCCAGCGCGCA